GGCCCATCCTCACCCTTCTGCCCCCAACCCTCACCTCCTTGTACCCCCAATATGTTTTTCCTAATAAAAAAAATATTTTAAAAAAAAAACCCTACTTCATTTCTCTTCTTCAGCTTCTCCTCTTTTTTCCCTCCTCACATGACCATAGTAAGTGTTCATCTTGTTTGAGTAATCTTTCCTTGGACTATCCTGAATTTATAATACAAAAATTTCAAAATCTGTATGTATAGATTTTTGTATGTTGCTAGGTTTAGAATGATATACTCGTCTATATATTTATATATTCATTTACATATTTTAAGGCTGGCTATTAAAGACATTTTCATCTATTTAGAGCTGCCTCAGAGTACTTAATCATTGGAAATTCTTGTTTTTTCCTTTCCCTTGTAGCTTTGTAGTGTATAGTAAGCAGTCTCCATTGATGTCATTTTTCCAGAGTGTTCAAGGCAGTTCCCTACTATGGGGAACGTGGTCACACTTACTGCCTTCATTTTCCTTTCTCTTCAGGCTTTTTTTGTCTAACTTTTCTGGGGATTATATATTTATAGCTTTGCCACATACGTGTTCATATACATTACAGTCAGTTGGCCAGCTCTATGCCCTTCATGCCTTAGCATAACTTTGTGATCCTGTTCTAGTCATTCAGTCCATCTAGAGTGAAGCTTCCTCACCTGTTAGAAGAATAAATAACTAAGATTTGTGTGTAACACTTTATAACTTGTATGACTTTGCAGATAATGCTAACATTGGAGGATTAATTTCTTTTTATTTATACCCTATAAGTGCATTTCTGTATCCCTACTCAAGAAGCAGTTCATGGTTGTCAGCCATTTGAATGAATGTCCTTGCTGTATCTTCAATAGAGCCTAACATTTTAATGACTACAAACATATATAAGTATAAATGTTCATTCCATTTTGATGACTAATTTCTGCCATATCCATACACCTTCCCCTTTTGTCACTATTGGTAATTTCCCTTCCCACTGCTGTAAATCCCTGGAAATTCCTGTTCTGTTTCTCATAGCTCCGTCC